TGGATGTTAGCAGAAGTCACAAACAGATAAGCAGTTGCACACGCGATCAATTTTAATCATATAATGGCACCATCAATATTGCGACAACAGGCATCACGCCATTTTCTGAATCTTCAATTTACACCACCACGTTGGTCACAGTAGAAATCAAATGAAATCAGCAGTTCACAGTGTCACGCCATGCACTCAACTCAGAAGCTGGGCGTCGAAACTATCCTTTCAGTCTAAAAATCAAGCAAAAAATGCACCGGCCACCGTTTGGCAAAAGCAAAACATTTGTCCACGGCTCACAACAGTAACCGTGCCTAGCGTCCATTCTGACCGGAAGTAGTAAGGGTTTATTAGCGGTCACCGCAGTTGTGCTCTCGTCCTGGGGAAGGGGCCAGGGGAGTAACGCCCATCAGGAAGGTGACGCCCTTGTACGACCTGACTGCCTTCGTTAACGATGGTGCACCCCACAACCATGCAGTTCTTTAGCACGAAGGAGACACATTAAACTTGGGTTCTGGACCACCGACTCTCTACATGCTTTCACGAATGTGTTAATGGTGTACAAAAGTTATCATGATTCTCTCATATACCATTAGCCCCATGTTCCAGCATACATTTGTAAATAAAATACTATTGTCATGCTTTTATTCGCCGTAATGTTTTCGTTCACAATAAAGAGACTGATCGCACTGTAAGATCATACTTGGCGTGGTGTATTGTGTTACAGCATTCGTAGACAATCTTGGTGGTTACGATAGGACACGTTTGCTTGTTACGTGTGCCTGGCTTATATTGGTGTTTTTGTTGGGTTGGCCTATCCTTGCTGTCTTGTAGAAACCTAACAGTCGTTGTATCGTCAGAGGGAGCTCTTGTATGTGAACTGGAGAAAGTAATACACGCTGGGTACTTGGTAGGATGCGCTACCATTAGGAACAAATATAACATGATTGTAAATCAAGTCATTCCTTTAAACGTTTCTGGTTGCTGAAATTATACTTTATGTAACTGGCTGCAATCTGGCGTTGTGCTTATATAATTAATGATGTATTCCACACCTAACTATTGTCATGCGATTTTTTATTCTTAAACGAACCACTAAGTGAGTGAGATAATCTTCTACAGTTGAAATGCGAGCAGTACTGGCCCAACGATGGGGAAATCACCATTGGCGAGGTTACAGTCAAACTTACAACCACACAAGTATTCGCTGACTACACCATCAGGAGACTGTGTCTTTATAAGGTAGTCCACAACACAACATTTGACTGCAATATTTGCATTACTTTCCTCTCTCTCTCTCTCTCTCTCTCTCTCTCTCTCTCTCTCTCTCTCTCTCTCTCTCTCTCTCTCTCTCTCTCCTTTATCCCTCTTCTTTCTCTCTCTTGTTCTCTCTCTCTCTCTCTCTATCTATCTCTATCTCTCTCTCTCTCCTTTATCCCTCTTCTTTCTCTCTCTTGTTCTCTCTCTCTTCTCTCTCTCTCTCTCTCTCTCTCTCTCTCTCTCTCTCTCTCTCTTTCTCTCACTGTGTTTTAAAATAATATTTTCAGCAAGCGGCATATTTTTTATAAAGTGAAATACTGTAAAATTCTCACGAAGATAATGAAAATATTAGCTACAGAAATTTGTTAAACCATATAATTAGGTTAGTTGCGCATTCTTTACATAAAGTTGCAAAACAATCCCTAGTTTTTGTTTCTTTGGTTGTTGTAGTTTTTTTAGACCCATTTTTACGTACAGCTAGCTATCGGTACCACTATCCAAACCAGCACAAGAAGTCATCAATGCGAATATTTGATTGGTCGATTGGCTGATATTGAGACCGTTTGGGTAATTATAGGCGATTAAAATATTTCGGACTGGTAAGATAATTTTTATACGACTTTATATAAAAACACTAACTATCTGGGGCCCGTGTTGCAGACCCTTTCTGTCCCTTTCCGTGTCAATAAACCAGCATAATGAAAAGGGTCAAAACTGGAGCTTGGCCTGCTATGTATAACATTCTATTATAATGCGACGAGGTCACGACTCGGCAGAGTACATAGACTGTATTTCATCTTCTTCTTTCGCTCGCTTGAAATAGATTATCTATATCTGCAATGTTGTCTCTAGCATAAACTTCTCTGTCTTTTGTAATTCCCTCAGCGACCCGTAAAGTTTCACTTCCACCGATATTTCTCTTAGCCAAACGTTTTGCCTTGATATGTTGTTATTTGGGACAGTCTTGGGGGGCATAATCGGTTGTCTCAGGTGCCAGTCTACATGTGCACATTGCTGATTAGACGATTTTAAATTTTGTGTACATGTCGCTGGGAAGTCGACTGTGTTCTGTTCTAAGGCGTAAAAAAATACCTTGCTCTGGTCTCTCCATAAAATGGTAATCGTCGTGTGCCCTTTTTGGTAGCTTTCTGACAGATTTAATTATTCTCTTCTTTTGTTGATAAGAGATCCGTACGTCAGCTTGTTCTTTATTTGCATCTTTTTTAGCTAGTACATAGCTATAGACTGTACTATATTTTTTAATATTTATTCTATATGGTTTATGTATTTTAATCTTCTCAGAGCGTAACCAAGTTAGCAGGAGAAAATAAAATAAACATGGATTTATCTTTCATTGTGATTTACTTTTTTTTTTATTTTTGCTCTCTCATGCTGTTTATTTCACTTTGACAAGTCTGCACAGGAGGATTACGGGTTATGAACGCAGTGTCATGAATTCAAACAAAACTGGTTAAATTCAGCTGCAAGTGATTTGACAGCAGACCACTTTGCGACAACAGTAGTCGTTACTTGACGAAAGATTGCCGTGTAAAGCTACAAATACAACACATTCTGCCGTTGGTTTACGACGTCCAGACAATAATGCTCCATTAATTGTCTTACGACAAATATATTGCTAACACAAGAAAGTATATCAGCTATTTAGTCTCTATAATTGTGGAGAAGTTTGAGTTATTATTTAAGAAAGCTATATATATATATATATATATATATATATATATATATATATATATATATATATATATATATATATATATATAATCTGGTATCTCCAGAAAGCCCCGCCTGTGCACGTACTGACACATTTCCACTTCACAACCTGGCCAGACAAGGATATTCCAACAACCGCCTGGGGATTGGTGGATCTTGAGCAGCGGGTGGCTGCTATTTCCACAAGTAAACCCATCGTTGTTCACTGCAGGTAGATCCCTGTTGTTTGGCCTTATTCTGCTTATTGGCTACACAAACTTGTCAATGTTTGGCCAAACACAAATACAATGACTTACTATATTTCCTCTTCTCATGTTGCTACCTGGAGGTTTGGCACCGCTGCAGCTTAAATAGCAATATTCTGATTATCATTCCAACAGAATAAATCTCAGATACCCCGTTCAACATTCCAAGAAATTATTATTACATTATGTATAACGGTTTCACTGAGATAATCGTGGGGTATTCAACTGTCCTTCTTTGGTAATTTGCTCAATGTGTCTGTAACAAATACTCACTCATCATCATCATCATCATCATCATCAATCACTAGGTTCTTCGCTGGAGTCAAAGTATTTCTATTTTTTGCCAGTTCTCAAACAGAACAAGAACAGGAACAAGTCGAGCTTGTAAATCTGCTCGATAAAAGAAAAATTCACCAAGTATGGCATGCAAATAAACGCAGAAAAAACAAAAGTAATAAATATGAATGCAAAACTTATCCAATGTACGTTGAAGGTCACACATTAGAACAAGTCAATCATTTCAAATATTTAGGATCCATTTTAAGTGACCTGGGGTCAAGACCAAAATTCATTGCCCAGACAACATTAGTCTTGTCAAGCGGTAAACATTATGGAGATCCAAAAACTTGCTATTAATGCATTTACAAATGGCTGTTTTTCTTCTTCTGCGTTCGATATCAGTCATGCTAAACATTGAGTCCCGTCTGGGTCACAAATAGGATTGTGCGTTTAAGGTCGCCACCGGTCCCCCATAGCTTCTCTTGCAATGTGGCTCCTTTGGGCCAGATCCACAGTCTTTGCTGGGAGAGGTAAGGGCAGTACTGTAGTATGTGTTCAGGGGTTTGTCTTTCTGCTCCACAATCACAGGCAGCAGATTACAAATGGCTGTAAAACGTGGACCTTAACAGGTAAACTCGAAGGTTCAAGCATTGAAAATGCAATGTTTCAAAAAAATTCTTGGCAAATCAAAGAAAGACCGCATTACAAACGAAGAGGTTCGCCATATAATTATACAGCACATTGGCAACTATGAACCTCTGTAAATTGCAGCGAAAAATCGAAAAATGTAATGGTACGGCGTTTTTAAAAGATCTAACGGCCTCTCAAAAACAAAACTGCAGGGCTCAGTAGAGGGAAAAAGGAGAAGGGGCTGAAAAATAAAGACAGATACAGAACCTGAGTGAATGGACAGGCCTCAGGCATGCAACCATGAAGTCCGTCGCAACTGACCGCCGAAGGTGGAGAGAGCTAATCAAACCGTCAACAGAAACTGATGACCCAAAAACAACAGTGTTAGGGGATGATTATGATGATGATAACGATGATGCCAGTTCTCCAGCCCTATGTGTTTTCATAGCTGATGTATCTTAGTTGCCTTGTATCCATTTCCGAGGAGGTTGGCGTCTGCCTAAATTGTTTTGAAACTATATCATCGATCACGTTGACTTTTTTTTCTTTCAGGAAACCATGACATTTAGAAAGGCAAAAATACTTCAGCTTTCAGATCACGTAGAATGTCGATGCTTTCCTTCTTCTTGTTACATCGTATTCTAAGATTTTTTCTGAAACATTCCTGTACAAACGCTCTCATTTCTTTTCTTCAATGACTGAGTGAGAATCCATACTCATACCATTAAGTTGCAACAGAAAAGATACACGATCTAAATACACACCAGTGTAAGAAAATAGTAATTTTATGGATGGATGGTACAGGGGATCATTTAATTACATCCGAATATCCCAGGTTTCCATGTTTCATAAAGATTACACAGGAAATTTCACACTGCAAGAAACCACCATAGCAATGGAGAAAATTACATTGGATACATACCAGGATCACACACGCTTTAAAAAATCTGTGTGTATGCATATGTGTGTCTCTCGTTATCAAAGTTAACCTGGTTGGTAAATAAAATACATGGTTTCAAGGTATTTTTTGTCTAAATGGCGAAATACTATCTATATCGCTCAGCTCGCATGCCCTCTGGTTAGGTGTACACTCTTAGTCCATAAAATTATATAGATTACCTTATACACATTTTCAAGATAACAATAGTAAAAAAATTATTCTCTTATTGCATAATAATAAAGTCAAACCTTAAACAAAAATCTGATCGGAATATCATAGAGAGTGATGTAACCTTTAAGTTATTCCTCCACAATAGATATTAGACAAAGCAATAAAGCCAGTAATGGATTTTTAAAAAACAATCTGATAGTCCTCTGTTATACAATTAGCATCTATTTGAAGGTAAGGTCACAAAGAACATGATTATGGTCATTATTTTGACAAGTTTTGATTACGTAGAAGGCAGTGTTCACTGCAACTCTATAGGCTTTATTCACTGATACAAAAACACAAAAGGTCCGATGTAATAAAACGATTTTAATTTAATTTTAACTGAAATTAGAGTTAAAAAAATGAAGAGTATATAGAAATATTACAGTACTTTTTTAATTTCTCATTTCTACAAATACGAACAGACAGGATGTTAGAGTAAAACGCTGGCAGATGGAGAAGACCTACAGAGTGGCACGCACGGTGTTCTATGTACAATCGTAAAAAAAACAAAAAAAACTGTGAAATGGTTAACAATGAAGACATGGCTATTATAGTAAGAATTTTATTGCAAAAAAACTCCACATGTAGCAACTTATGTATGTCCTTGCGTGTGACCAGTGCTGGTGTGGGACGGACAGGTACCTTCATTGCTCTACATAACACCCTGGAGCAGATCAAAGATACCGGATACATGGATGTCTTTACAACCGTTCAGAAACTCAGGCAAGACAGAATTAACATGGTGCAGACCTTTGTAAGTAACCGATATGTGGTTGGCCGTTCAAACACCCACTCCCAAACAGTTTTGTTCTTGTTCTGGTAGTCCGTGCTGTGTGTGACCTTTGTAACTACTCATATGTCCATATCCTACTGCCTCATAAACTGCCAATCATTTCTGTTGCAAATGGTCTGTCATGACATTAGCCGAACTGCCCACCATCTTCTCTCTTGCTCCCTGAAACTCACTTGTGCTCTGATATTCGCACGTTCTTAAATGTAATGCTCCCCTACTCTAAAACTGTATTTGCAACATCAGTCGTATGTAGACTTCACCTAGTACAGTTGTCCGGAGGTTCTCTTTTGACATTTTGTGTTCCACTGGAGTTCATCCGTGTATTTTCTAAAACGTGTGCAGCCTGTGTCATTGTATTTTCCCCTCAAATATTTCCTTTCATACATTTTATATCTTCTATTACGTATTTTATTTCTACATTGTGAAAAAACGTCACAATGTCTTAATGTTTATCATATAGCTAGAAAGTGTATGAAAGCTTGAATCAATTTGGTTGTGTTATATCTGTTCATTTTGGGATAATTTTACTTTTGAAAAGTATTTTATTCATTAAACATTGCATGTTTTCATTTCTTCTTCTTCTTCTTCTTCTTCTTCTTCTTCTTCTTCTTCTTCTTCTTCTTCTTCTTCTTCTTCTTCTTCTTCTTCTTCTTCTTCTTCTTCTTCTTCTTCTTCTTCTTTTTCTTTTTCTTTTTATTCTTGTTTTTCTTCTTCTTCTTCTTGTTTTTCTTCTTCTTTTTCTTCTTCTCTTCTTCTTCTTCTTATTTTTCTTCTTCTTCTTGTTTTTCTTTTCTGCTTCCCTCTCATCTCCCTACTCTGCCTCGTCTTCCGTTTTAGTTTCCTTTTTGTGAAGAGTTCCGTTTACAACTTGTGCATAATTTCAAATTTTTCGCAAAGAAATCTCGATTTCTCTAAGTAACATTTCTTGTCTGAACTTACTACGTCAATCACATTTTAAAAAAAAATATGTGTTTTGTTTTTATGTTAGTTTCTTTCTCTCATTTGAAAGGAACAAATTATCTTACAAATATAAGAACATTAATTAATTCTTGTAAAATTTCTCTGATTCAACCGAAGTATTTAAGTTCTTCAAATGTATATTATATTATCTATAATTATACTAGCTATAAAATAACTTTGACTCTTTAATTATAAGTTAATGTATCCTGGTAAAATGCAAATAAATCGTGACTGTCTATGACTAAATTCCCTAATGAGTTTTTAGTCTGTTGCTTTGAAGAACGTCATGTGTACTTTCCTGTCAGTACATATTTATTTCTTCTATTTTAGAAGCCATATTTCCGCTACATTCAGATGTTTCTAGAATACTTTGCACAGTCTTCAGTCTTTTTGTTCCTGTAGCGGCAAGACGCTCTTCCCGCGGATCCGAAAGACATGGGTTCAAATCTGCATGTAGCTGATTTTTGTTTCATACTTGACTTTGGCTCCCAAGTCCACCCAGCCTTAAATCGGCACCAAGTGAAGCCATGGGGGTGCGGGGGTGGGAGTAACGTGGATGGTGTGATGTTGACCATATTAGTCTAAGAAAAAATGAATCTAGCTTCACATATGACGCGCCACTGGCGTGGGGCCATTACTCAAGTTTTTCAATAAGATTACTTTTGCTCAATTTGAATGACATTAAATGTAATTTCAAAGATATGCGTAAAAAATGACAAACTGTCCTGCTTGTAGTAAATGTGTGTGATCACTATTCCAGCAACAGTATGAATTCCTGCACAAAGCTGTACAGATAGCCATGGTATGTAAGGGGACTACAGTCACCACTCGCGATATACGAGATAGGATTCACGCCCTCGAACTCGCTGAATCTGGCCAGTCCATTCTGGAAATGGAGTTTAAGGTAATCAACATGAAAAATCACAACGAAATATTACCAGGTGGCTTAGTTGCCGTTGTTTTGTTACGACTGCATGCTCGCCGAGGGGCTAAAGGTTCAACACCGCTTCAAGCTGAATATTTTTTTTTTCTCCAAAATGACCTTGACTCCCAGGTCGACCCAGCGTAAGATCGGTACTAAGTAAAGTCCTGGGATGTAAAGGTGGACTGCGCCATGTTGACCACACTCCTACTGAGTGCCGATTAGTCTATAAAATACAGGTCTAACACTATATGCCCAAAAGAATAATTGCATGGAAAAAGGTCCTTTAAATAACAAGGTGGAAAAGGGGGTGGGGGCGCCTTTTGTAGTTGGACTACCCTGTAGCGATAGTGTGACGAGCGAAAGCTTGGCGTACAGTGTGACGTGCTGTAAAGGCTGCGTGGTAATGTGCGGCGTACCAAAGGTGACTAAGGGCGTCGCAATGTAACAAATGGCATCAACAACTTAATATGCCACTGGCCAAGTGTAACACAACATGATGAATGTTGAAGCTTCTAAACGTAGTGGAACGAGAATTCTCTTTAAAGATTCCATTTGTGTATTGACAATAGCAATAATCAACACAAGGAGAAAATATGCAATTAATAATCCAGACTCATTCAAACACATTAACAAAAGCCCGCTCGTACATCCATGGACTGATATGTTCTCACGACGGGTCGCAGTCCGACCTTGAGATCCAGACAGTCATCTGTGTCTTCTGTTCCGCAGTCTGAATAAGGTAATGTAAGTATACCGGCTTACTGCCGAACTGTGACAATATACCAGCTTTCTGCTGAGGTCTACAGTGGAGTCCCGGGGTAAAACGTCCTCAAGGATCCAACTGTATACAACGTCTGCTTCCGTGGAATCCCGGGGTAAAGCGTCCTCAAGGATCCACACGTCCGTCTAATTCGGACTGTAAACCTCAACTGCCTTTGACAACAATACCTTCACAACATTACGTAGTGTTTTGACGTCGTATTTGCTCACTCAGTACTGGTGCGTTCTAGTGCACATCCGCACGCGACAGCTAGTACTTTACATGCATTATCCAGATTAAGAGAATTCTACCCCAGAAAGGCTTTGAATATACACTTCTCAAAATAATACTGTAGCTACTTCCAGGAACTCAGGAACTAAAATACTTGGTGAAAACTCGAGGAGTTTTATATATCCTACCTCAAACAGGGGCAATCCACAGGTCACAGGACAGTCTAATATTTCAGGGGGTGGTGGATAGGCTGCATGCAGTCGTGGGACCTTGACTGCATGCAGTTGTGAGACCTAGGCTGCACTCTCTCTTGGGACGTTGGCGGGTTAGGGTTAGGGCCTGTTCTATATGTTTTGGGGTTGTTAAAAGCATCAGAAAGCCGGAAGAGCCAGTCTTACCACCTTCTAAAATGTTGGACTGTCTTGTGGCGTGATCTAAGGTTGGAAATTATTAAAGCACCAAACTCAAAACACAACTTTAGAGAACGAAACAATTAGCTTTACAACATCCCAACTGAGATCCGTAGATCTATAATTTTCCTACTTTGTTTAATGTTTACAATGTAAAACTTTACTAATATTTAAAATACACGTGTCCTCACTTTGGAATTGTTCTTTCAGTCAGTATGTCTGGTTTGCTGTGAGGATGAACAACACGAAAACGAAGAAGTTCGGGAAAACAACACTTACTGTAACAGTCGTCTGCTGACTAACAGAATGAAAAACCGACTGGACAATGTTCTGCCGAGTGAGTAAGAGAACAGGTCAACAAACACAGTCCCTGAAGAACATACACATACGGGTCATAGTTAACTTCAGAGGAAATATGATTATAATATTGTAATTATAAATCAGCAAAAAATAAACACTTTTTGTGAGATAATGAAAAGATATTTTAACAAGGTAAGTAACGTGAAGGAAGCTGTTCACGTCAAGGCGGCCTTGGGCATTTGATGCTAGACCCATTTTTTAGACCATGAAGCATGAAGACCGGTGGGTGTTGTGGTCAACTTCACAACGGGCCTTCTCTATTTCCTATGACATCGTCTGGCACCCAGGGAGCCAAGGTCATTGCCTTTTTATAATCCATCTCGATGCAGATTCGAACACAGGAACTTCCAGCCGGAGGTGAAGCGCTTGCAACACCGCTGTCAATGAGAATTTATTACCTAATAAAATATCTGAATTTGAAAACAAAAATATGATTTAATAGAAAATAAATGTTCTTCTTCTTCTTCTTCTTCTTCTTCTTCTTCTTCTTCTTCTTCTTCTTCTTCTTCTTCTTCTTCTTCTTCTTCTTCTTCTTCTTCTTCTTCTTCTTCTTCTTCTTCTTTTTTCTTCTTCTTCTTCTACTTCTTCTTCTTCTTCTTCTTCTTCTTCTTCTTCTTCTTCTTCTTCTCTTCTTCTTCTTCTTCTTCTTCTTCTTCTTCTTCTTCTTCTTCTTCTTCTTCTTCTTCTTCTTCTTCTTCTTTTTCTTCTTCTTCTTCTCCTTCTTCTTCTTATTCTTCTTTTTCTTCTTCTCCTGGAATGCCTCACTGCGTCAGGGCAAAAAGTTTCTGGAACAGGCATTCTTAGGTTCTGTCTCTTTCATTCTAGTGATTTTGTGATATCTACTCATTTTCTTCGAGCACTAATGTAGCCACTGTCGGTTTACTAGACCAGTCACAGTGATGGGAAATTTTAACCTCTTAAAAATCTGTAATGCCTAATGTTATACTTCGGTAAGCAGTAAGTATTTCACAGAGTAAGAATCCACAGCAGGAGGTTATCAATCAGCAGCAGCGGTTTCCCTGCAACAATTTTGCCAGTTTATTCAATAAACAGTCTCTCTGGGCAGCCGGCACGGGTCATGACTCTCTGGCCTCGGACTCTCCGGCTGTGCCTTCGTAGACAAACCAAGACCTGGTTCTGTGAATGACAGTAGGTTACTGATGGACGCTGCTAGTGCGCAAAAACTAGCCTGCCTGCCATGAAAATCACTAGACAGTTCAGGAGTGAGTGAGCCACTTGCAGCTGCCATCTGTCTAGTCACTGAACCGTCAGTGGCTCGCTAGAATACCGGAGCCACATAGTTGCCCTAAGCGGTTCGTTAACGGCTAAGCACAAGCTCCTGAAATCCCAGATCCTCTCTAGGCCTGGGCCCGAGCGTCAGGTGAGGTTCTTCCATCTGAGCTTTGCTGCAGGTGATTGAACTGCGTGGATTTACATTCACCATAGCCGGTTAGGACATTTCCGTAGTTTATTAGCAGAGATTGGCAGATCAGTCAGTTCGTTTGCACGAACCTGCTTGACAGTTGAACGGTTTGGGTTTTTGGATGGACGTTGATTAGACAGAGGTTGTTCCTGCAGAAGTTTATATGGGCGAACGTTTATGAGACAAACGTGGGCTTATGATAGACTTGGAAGTTCTTTCCAACTAGGAAGCCGAGCCAGCCTATAGAGATCTTACCCCAACCCAACCCCATATCGATCCGGCTACTCCATAGATTTATATACCACCTCAGAACATCGTATGCTAAATTAGCCAATAACCCTCTTGCGCCAACATCGACGGCGAATGGGGAAACTGCGTAAAGTTCCTCATACCTTAGAGTTGCTACGAGATGCTTCTACTTTTCGAGCGCGCACAAATGCTGCTCCTCAGTCTTCGATTCATGCGGAAAGCTCAGCTCAATAAGTATCACCTAGCGAGCTGTCTAGGAGTGCAGCACCACGTCTAGCCTCAGTCGTGTCTTCCTAGTCGGTTCCCGGTAACTGTCAAAGACTGTGGATTCAGTGAAATGCAGGAGAGAATACATTCAGTGTAATGCAGGAGGGAATGCATTCAGTGTAATGCAGGAGAGAATACATTCAGTGTAATGAAGTACTTTTCCTTAATATCGTCAACATGTGAAATACTGAGTAGAACAGGTGATTGCATTACTCTACAAACATTTAACATCATAGTTCAAATGTTGGACCATCTTCTGTGCTAGAATGGGCAACTGCAGACTAAATTGGCAGTTAAAGAATTGACCAGCTACATTAACAAATGAATGTTGATAAATTTAAATATATTTAATATAACACTAAAGAAAGTGCTTCTTATTGTGTGTAAATATATGTTATGTCACTTCTTTTATTATAAAGTTACTGGAAGAAAACTGTAAAATGGAGTTCCAAATAACAACAGTGTTATATGTTATCTTACTTTCTTACGGAATCAGAGGAATACTTCAGACCGAACCTGAGATGTGAAACTCAACAATTGGGGAATTATATCAACGCAGTGTTAATTCCGGTAAGTCATTAAATTATTTCATTGTCCTGTTGAGCCAGCATGTGCCACACAGGGCTCACTCTCTATTTCTTCATTCCGTTCTATACTGTGCCGTCACTTCGATATCATGGATATAATCCAGCCCAGCACCTTTGCCTTCGGTCATCAATCTTCGCTTTGGGGTCTATCTTGAACGCCCTCTGAAGTCAATTAACTATGTGTGTGCATATATATATATATATATATATATATATATATATATATATATATATATATATATATATAGAGAGAGAGAGAGAGAGAGAGAGAGAGAGAGAGAGAGAGAGAGAGAGAGAGAGAATGTTTATAGAAAAGATTATAGAATTTTAAAATTCAAACGACATCTACAACCTCTAAACATCAACATTCAGTAAAAGTAGTTTTTCTTTTATTTTATTTTATTCGCTGAATTTCAAGTAGGTACTCATGTGTTTGGCATCCTTTCAATCCAAGCCCTCTGTTGAAGGCAAATAAATCGTATTCTACTTATGCTCTGTGAACGTCTTGCTTGTCGTCTATGAAACATATATAGATATTTTTTAATGTTTTGTATATTTATCGGTCAACACTCTAACTATACCAACGCCTTTTAGGTGACAATCAGTCAAGTCTTCTGTACAGAATATATCCATGTGACAATATTCCCAAATGGTTGCTGTGCTTATTATCTTGTGGTGCAACTTCATGTATTGGATCTACGTCCTAATATCATGTATCTACCTCGTTAAATAAGCTAAACTTCAGCATATAAATTTACTTATATGTGTGTCTATATATTTTAATCAGCATCATATCTTGTTCAGAATGCACAGTGTGCACTGAAAATGGCCTGAGTGACTGGTTTTGGGAAAGGCTGCATTCTAACTCCGTTGGTGTTTGGCTAGATAATAGGCAACTTGAACATCTGGATTTCGCATATGATATTGTTCTGTTAAGTTTAAAAAAAAAAAAAAACATGCATAGAAAATAAAGAGACGATTTTTTATCCGTAACATCAACAAAGAACTACAAGTAAGTTATGGGAAAATTTCCAAATATATCAAAGATAATGTAAATATTATGCTAGAGAGCAAACCAGTTCAAAAAAGGGACCATTTCAGCTATCTGGGCAGCAGTTTTAACTCTCAAAGAGATACAAACCAGGAAATTATGATACGCACTGGCAAAGCAACAACAGTCTTTAGAAGCCTTAACAAAATATAGAGCTCCAAGTTATACAGCCTGTAAGATCAAACCACGAATCTTTAGTTCCAATGTTATTTTTAAATCTAACATACGCCAGCAAAAGTTGGAGACCCACTAACGACATGGAACGAAAATTAATCATTTAAAAAAAATGTCATAAAAATCATAAACATAAAATGAGATGAATTCAAAAAGAGCAAGAAGATCAGAGAAAATTATGGACAAATACTTGTATAGATTGCAATAACACAAAGAAGGTGGAGATATATTATCACACTCCTTTACGAAATGAGCAAAGCATTACAACCCAAGCCCTGAAAAGGGAAACCAAGGGTCTAAAGAAAGGATGACGTCCATAGAGAAACATTCAGAACAATATTATCACGAGAGGCTACAAATTATGGGCTGAACTCTATGTCAGAAGTCGAGAACGTTGCATAGGGCAAAGTTGAAGAATAGAATGCGAGCCCTGTGCGCCCTCTAACGGCACACAAAGCATAATGATGATACGATCCTGTTGGAAGTTACATAGTTGTGATGTCACTTGTAACTGTGAAATATTGCTTTGTCTACTATGATTTGTTCCTTATATAATGATTCAAATCCATCTATCAATGACCAGAGCTGTGAGAAGCATGACCACCAAATTCTCACCCAGCTGCCATTACCGACAACAGTCATCGATTTTTGGCGGCTTGTGACCCAGTACAAGGTGTCTTTGATTGTGGCGTTTGAGAGGAATCTTAACACAGTAGACCAGGTAATCATAACTATATAACTATCTAATTAAAATAGAAGTGTGCATTATGTAATGCATTAGTAATTGCGACTTTGTATTTTTTTATTTTTATTTTATGCGACTGTACCATTTTGCCTAAAGTTTAGTGTTTATTTAACTAATACCATATTTGTTTTTGTTTACCTCTGCAACATTTATAGTGCAATCAAAGCTGTTGGTAGTTTTTTGAAATCTTGCCTCAATTTCCACATCTTTTTCACCGTCTGTGACTTCCTTGGTGTTTATTCGTATAAGATATTTAACCACTTTATGTGAGGTTTCTTACTTTCTTAATGAATGCTTACAATTTTTGTATTTCCTCTGCATTTGTTTAAGGTGACTTCAGTCTCATCTCATCACGTATGTTCAGTACATTTGACATATGACATGTGTGAGGCAAAAGGATAATATCCCCAATGAAACTCAAACGGTCAAGATGATGCCTTAGTATTAATCACATTTCTCTTTGCAGATATAGTTATCTTTATTATCAAATTCATGGTCTATATAAAAGAAAGAACAAAATGTCCAAACAAGGCATTCTGGTCCCACTCCTGTTCTTATTTTTATTTCCCATTAGTTTAGGCTTTTTGTAAAACCGTCTTTACCGCACTGATACTACATATTTGATAATTTTAAGATTTTCTCTTTTTTTTCTCTCCAGACTATTGCTGATTATCTGCCTGAAACTGAAGGTGAGACAAAAACATGTTCATTTTTCAACATCAAAACTACAGGCCTTGATTCGCGAGATACATGGGACGTGCACAGAATTACAATCAGTGTCAGCCAAGAAAATGCTTCAAAAATGTCAAACATACCTGTAAGTTTTTATCTGAAATAATATAATACACGCATGTTTAGCTTCTCCCTATCTTTCTCTTGATCTCCCTTGCAAATCTTCTCGCTCTTGTCTGGTCCACCCCCAACACCCTTTCCCTCTCCCACCCAATTGATGTCTCCTTTCATTGATTTCATTTTACACTTTACAGAAACACTTAGATGAACTAAATTTTGATACATATTGGACAACCTAATCATGACATGTTATATCTTTTGTATCATGGTACACATTTTATAATGTGTAACAAACGACGAAAAGTTGACGTGGACAGTGTCACGGCTGTCTCAAGCCACCTCTAAATTGACCAGCCAGAACTTGTCTGGTGTCGATTGATATAGGGCTGGACTAACCTAGGCGTCGTGTGGGTATTTGATTTAGAAGTTAATTTGCATGTTCCCACATTCATCGACGTGTCAGAATTGGATTCCTGCTGCAGTCGATGAATTGGATTCCTGCTGCAGTCGATTTAAAAAAAAAAGATCATTTTCCTTGCTATTGAAAAGCAGTGCAAGAGTCACACCGTGGAACAGATTTAGAAGTAACCAAAAACACTAGAGGAAATGCATAACCACTGCGGTCGAGTACCATTGTTAAAACAAGGCACAAAACCTTATACTCTTTGTGCTCGTTAAAATAATTTTTTGTCTCGATGCTTTTGTGTTGCTCTTTTTTTTAAAAAACCAAGCCACATCTGTTTGGCAAGCAAGCTGTAGCCAGTGGCCTGCCCCGGTTCTTTATGTTGCAACATTCTAAAAAAGACACGCACGCACACACACACACACACACACACACACACACACACACACACACCAGTAATAACTTGTCTTTATTCCCACAGTTTAAGGGAGAGTATAATCTCTCACATCTGTCTTGGAACAGCAAAGACCTTGACTCTAAAAATCTGCTGGTTTTGATGGAGAAAATTCGATCCATGAAACCAGCTGGCCAAGGAAGAACATTGCTTATGTGCAGGTACTGTAGTCTATATTACTGAAAATGTAAATAAATAGTTTTCGATGTAGTCAGTGATAGCTGTTTTGGCCATTGTAAATGTCTTTTTTTCCCACGCCTTTAGGCGTTTGGGGAATGTAGGGTTAGTCCCATATTTTCATAGACCAATCGGCACTTGATGGATGATGCGGTCTGCATCACGCCTTTAGACGTATTGGTAATTTTGGGCTCGCCCTATATTTTTTTTTATAGACCAATCGGCACTTGGTTGGTGATGTGGTCTGCATCACGCCCTTTGCCATTGACAGGAGTTTAATTAATTCAAGTTGGGTGAATAATTATAATGTACTTGTTGATTATGAAGTATTGAGTTATGAGTTAGATTATCTTCACAGCACTCCAGACACATCCATAGGCGCTCAGATACCCCTCTCAACATATTCACCAGCGTCGTGCAGTTAACAGTACCCATCCTATGATGGTTAACAAGACTTTGTGTGCGTTCGGTGTGCTTCTCATGCTTGGCTGTGTCGATCTTTACTCCTAATTCGCGTAATCTTAGCAGTGATGTGCACACGTTGCTTCCAAAATCCTCAGAACGTCCTAGCTCTCTAAGGGATGTGACAATGTCTGCGTGATCCATAAACTGGTAGGCCGACCATCTTCAAATAATGCAGCACCTGCCAGTCTATCAATCAGCTCTCTTATTAACAACAACGCCTGCATGCCCTGGGACGAATATGAAAGTAACTGCACACACAGGATAATTTTGCAACGACTCAAGCCACTGTCTGCTTAACCAGCCTGCCTCGACCCGCCGGATCATGCTCAAAGAATCACTCAGCCCACACACACGGGAATACTCCTGTAATCCCAGCCACATGAAAGCCTGTGCTACCGCCATCCTCATGTTGCTGGTTGTCATGGAGAAGTCACCGATGGCTTCCTGAACTGTTCTGCCCGAAGAGCGAAGTATTAAGTATATAGTATTAGGACTGCTCTTTAAAATACCTCTTAGATATACATGGTCTAAAATTGATACTAACGGGTGTCATCTGAAGTAAAATTAGCCGCCTGTGTGATGTTGAACTACCACTCATTGCGTGCCAGTTTATCTACAAATATAGGGTTTGGTACCAGTTGCCAAGTACGCCATTGGCGATAAAAAAAGTTCTTTAGTTACTGACTACTTATGTAAGTTAGTACCATATTTAAAAACATAGAGCCGTTTGAAAACATAGTGAGCATTTGGGACATTTGAAATATTTCCCCCCCCCCCACCACCACCCCCACCCAATCCCTTCTATAATTGTGTAAAAGATTAAAAGATCCCGTTTACCCATTGTTAGAAATTATGCGTAAAATTATGGTTTATTCCTAGTATAATAGTATACTGCTTTTCCATTAATAATAATAATAATAATAATAATAATAACGTATTGAATTAAAAATAAAAATAACTGTTATACTTGGAACATAGGCCTCTTGGGGCTACTCATACCCTGGAACAAAAGTATTTAAGGAAAAGCCCCCCCCCCCCCCCCCACCCTTTTCCCCAACCTCTCTCTACCACGTACAGACGTCCTCTTTTGAAGCTTTTTTTTTGATATTATATTTGGGGGTGGGGTGTGGGGGGGGGATTTTGCGATGCAACACTGAATAAAATTTGTAATAATAATTATTATTTTTATACAATCAGGCTGTAAATAAAATTAGCCCCTTGATCACATATATTTGGGGGGAAAAAGGGAGGGGGGGGGGTGTTAAGGTTTTAAAGGCTTGTTTTATTGTGCAAAAAAAAAAAAAAAATTACAATTAAATTAAAATAACCTCTTGAGGATTTTTGCATAATTAAGGAAACTCAAGCGACTCCTCCTCCTACTCCCATTCTGCCCTAAGTGGTCCCTAAAAAATTATTTTATGTGGCGGCACGCCTTCTGGGAATAGGAGTTTACTAATAATCAGATACCTATGACATTAGGTACTTAGTGCACTGACACGCAGTTATTTGCAGATTTTATTTCAAACAACGAATGTTTTGCATAAAATAATCTCAATTTACTCGTGTTTTTTTATTCAAATTAGATGTATATGATGTCCGTTGATGTTTCTAACATGGCACTATGTCTTTATAAAATCAGAAACGGAGCTGAGATGAGTGGACTTGCGTGCACGATGTCTCTCTTGCTGGATCGCATGGACAACGACCAGCATGTGTCTGTGCCTCTTGTAGTCGGCACACTCAAGGCTATTAGACCTCAGGTCATTCCAACTCTGGTAAGATTTTAGTTGCGTAGTTCCTATTCTTTCTTCTTCTTCTTTTGTCATCTCACTGTTACTAGGTTGTAACACAGTGTCGTGGTTTTCTGTGTTTGTCTTTCGCTTCTCGGGTGGCTTGGCTAAAAGATTTGTTCATCTAATGCAGGTTTCTACTACACCATTTATCTATCTCTTTCTTGGTCTTCCTCTCGCCTTCCTTCCATAAAATGCTCTACAAGCCGTTGCGACTGCAGTCAGATTTTCAAAACTACTGATCTGCCTCAACACCCTGAAGTAATATTTCTTATTGAATACAAAGTCATCACGCCATCACAACTGTGATATTACATGTTCAATAAATGTTTGAGCATGGTATTAATACATTTTTCGGAACAGGTTTTACTGAAAGTAATACTCCATAGTCAGTCACATCAGTCTGTTGATGTACTAATAATAAAGGCTGGTTGTAACAGATCTGCAAGTTTGCCTCTCGTCCTAGTTGTACACACTTTTAGACTGCTGTTCATTCATCTATTTTAATGTGACTGAAATATTTAATATGTTTCTGCTATATTTCTTTGAGCAATTCTCTTTTAACCCCCATTCTCTGAGAAACCTTGTTTTTCTATAGTTTTTTTTTATTTACTATACAATAACAAACATTTTTGTCTGTGTATCAGCCTTCAGAGTATTTGAGTATTAAAACTGTTTTGTCATTGCCATCTTTATTGTACCTTACATATCCTTTACATTTTTATTGCTATTTTAGTTTGGCAGTATATCAAAGACTTGTGAGTTTTAAATGAATTTTGTTCCAAAATTGACTCACTGGAACGGAAAGACCAAAAAAAAAAAAAAAAAAGCATTACCGGTTTGGCTTTTAATGTTAAAGTCAAAGTCTTTGTTATTAAAGCCAAAGTTTGTTTCCCTATAGGAATACTTTTTATCATTTAAACGTTGATTATATTATGAAAACTAATATTATAGCATTGAAACTAATATTCCTATCGTATAGGTCAAAGACGCTTTACTGTATATAAAAGCGGTTTATTATTGTTAAAATGTATTTAAACCATCTTTATTTAACATTTCAGTCAGTGTTTTTTTTCATTAAATCATATTTGTGCCAATGAAATCAACTTTGTAAAAGGTATTTTGTTCTCACAATAGAAGATATTCCTGCTTGAAACGTGTCTGGACTTACAAATCTCCTTTTAATAAATTTTTAGTAACTAGGACAAACAAATATAATTTTTCAGAAAATGTATTGTGTCCTTTTACTGTATATGAAAATATACTGGTTGTCATTAATTATGTTAAAAAATATATAATGTTTTGGCTGTTTTCGCCCAATTCCTTTTATAGCCAGAACGATTGACACTCAGTGACTGAAATCGCTAGACTTCAGATGCGTGTGCAGCAGGAGTAAATCGCAGACAATTGTTTAACCATATAAAACAGTTAAATTGGGGCATGAATCGTTACATCCTAGGCGAATCATGATCTTGGTATATTATATACCTCATTGTTACATTTGGTACTTTGTGGCTGAGGTTAGAGAATGCAGTTAGCAATATCATAATCCTTCAGTACTATGGTTCGATTCCGTGGTGGGCTTTTGAAAACTCTATGCTCTTAGTTTTTGGTCAGTAGTACGAGAATCGCACAGTAGAAAAGATTGGCGCCACGTAATATTTCCATAGACAACAGTGGTACACTGTAGCCACG